ATGTGGTGCTGGGGGATTGAACCGGGGTCCCTGTGCTTTGCTTAGCTTAGCTTGTTCTAAGTAGGTGCTTTAGACCACTGAGCCATCTCACCAGCCCCCGCTAGCGATTTGATTTGAAACTGTCTCATTGCTATTTGTTTATCAATAAAATTATGGAAAAAAAAAAAAAAGCTGATTTTGGGACCTGGATGTCTTGATTTCACACAGCTCTTCCTCTTCTCAACCTATGCTACCCACCCCAAAGGGCCTAGCGGAGGCTATCACACTCCTATGAAGTTCTATCAGTCTCAGCACCAGAAAGTGCCGGTATAAAGAATAAAGAACAAAAGGTCCCCTGGGAACACTTAAGCAACAAAATCTCGTGTCATTATGAGTCAAAGATCAATACCCAGTGAGTCTCAGGGCTTGTGAGCTCTCAAGTTCTTTGTCAGCCCCAGACCTTGTTTCTAAGAAATATCTCTTAGGGGGTTAGTTTTCTCTCTCCCTTCTCCCTCTGCTTCTCAGATTTTCTTCCTCGCATTCTTTTGCTTCAGTCAGCCCCCAAGCACAGGAAGAAGGGGCTGCTAGGCCACCGGGACTGGACTGGAATCAAGGAGCCAGAGTGTCAGGGTTTACCTGCCCGAACAAAGTAACAGTGCAGGGAGTGCACGTGGACGTCTTCACTCACAGACTTGGCAGCAGCCACCAGGGCCTGGCCCACGATCTGACCCCCAAAGAGCCGCTGGGTGGTCGGTACCCAGTAATGCCTGCCTCTGTAGGGAAAAAAGGAAAGCAGGAAAGACTTGAGGGCTGCTCTACACTCTGTAAATCTCAGTGAGGCTCCAGTGCAGAATTTCTAAACCTTACTGGGGTTGGGAGTCCTTTGGAAAGTCTAGTAAAAGTCATGGACTCATGTATATGTATCAACTCCCCCCATGATGAATATATTCACTGTCACAAACATGTGCTAATAAAAAAACCTATGGACAAAAAAAAAAAAAAAAACCTATGGACTCTTTCCTCAAATATCCTCTCACTCTGCATAAAATTTCAGTCTTTATGACCACCTACTCTTTCTGTGAACTTCTGTCAGGATAGTAAACTAACTTTCTATTTTATACTAAGAGAACAGGGATCAGAAATCAAAAGCAAGAGCTGGGCTTGGTGCCGCATACCTGTGATCCCAAGGTCTAGAAGGCTGAGGCAGGAGGTTTGCCACCAGTTAGAGGCCAGCCTGGGCTGCATAGTGAGTTCAACATTCTACACTATATTATCAAGACCATCTCAAAACAAGAAAAGAAAAAGAAATCACGTGACTTGAGCACCCTGGTGTGATGGTGCTTGCCTATAATCTCAGGACTCTGGGAGGCTGAGGGAGGAGGACTGCAAATTCAAGTCCAGCCTAGACAACTTCATAACTCAGGAAGACCTTAACCTCAAAATTTAATTTTTTTCAAAAGAGCTGGGGATGGGGCCAGGGAGATAGCTTAAAGGTATAAGACGTATAGGAGGATCTGACTTTGATCCCCAGTACAAGAAAAAAAAAAAGAAAGAAAAGAAAAAAAAAAAAAGCTAGAGATATAGCTGAGTGTCAAAGCTCAATTCACAGCACATTTTAAAAAGAAAGGCAAAATGTCACTTAAGCAAGTTTGTACATTTTGGGCAGTATTTAGGCCTTTTGGCCTCCAGTCCAAAGTTTTATTTCACTCAGACATCAAGTCTAACTCCCTCAGGCTGTGACATTTTGCACAGATGAGGAAATTTTAACCAGGCCATAAGGTGTAAATGTTTGCCCAGGGTTCTAGTTCTGTGGAAGCTAAAGCCTCCTACTGTTCAGAGTTGATTATTTCCCCTAATAATCCTTTGCAAACAGCAATACACAACCCCTCCGAATTATTTATAATTACTTAAATGGAAGGAAGGGTAATCAAAGCAAGATAGCTTCCAAGAAAGTCAATGGAAGCCTTGGAGGTCAAAGCTGTGAAAAACCCCAGCTTCAGCATTGATGGTAAAGCCTGAGTAAAGAGCTACCAAACAGTACCGGGGATGAGGTACAGGAGAAGAAAAGGACAATGAGTCCTCAAGGAGCTGTGTGTAAGTTTTAAACCTAATCAGCTTGGGCAGATCACCGACCTCCCCTGGGCTCACACTTTCTTTGCTCTGATCGCCAGGATCTCCTGAGGACCAGCGAGGACAGCGGTTAGGTCCAAGTTCTCTCCTAACTACACAGAGCTTGCGTCCCGCACAGCGCGCTTCCCACTCCCAGAACTGGGCGCCACGGGCGGCGACAATCGAGAGCAGGAGTGTCTGTCCTAAATGAGGGGTGCGGGCCAGGCGGGGCCGGCTACCTGAAGAGATCCTCGTCCAGCGGCTCGAGGTTGAGCACGCTGGTGACCAGAACGCTACGGAGGTCCCGGGAGGAATCGTCGCGGTCGCCACCGCTCTGCCCATCCTCCGGCGCCTGCTGGGTCGACATCTTGGTTCTCTTGGTCCCGGCCACCTGACAACGTGCAGAGACCTACTCCGGACGCCGGCGCTTCCGCGAGAGTGCCCTAGTAACCGGAAGTCCGCTGAAGACGCCAGGTTAGGATGCGAGTTATGATTGGTTAGCGCTCCTGTCCGTTCTCTAGGGGACGTAGCGCTCTTTCGTCAGCGATTGGAAAAAATAAATGTCAGTCTGAGACTCCCATGTGTAATTGGGTGTGACAGCGGGAGGAGGCGGAACCTCGGGGGTCTAGATAATAAAGACTGTCATTTCCCTTCTGTCAGATGGCAGACTCTCCCAGCTCTCTTATAGCTCTGCGGTACCTGGGGCTTCTCAAGAGCTTCGTAATGGGCCGTCTAATCGGGGCTGCGTCTTAAGGCGTCCTGGGCCCATGACACTCTACACAGTGTGACCTGGGACTGCTAGTGTGATCTAGGGGTGATCAACCCCTGGCGGTCATGGAGCTGGGCAGCTGCTTCAAGACATATGAGGACTTCAAGGAATGCTTCAACGCCTACAAAAAGGAGAACGGATGCTCCTTCACTCTCAGGGACTGCGTCTCCGTCCGCTTCCACAACCTCAACCACGGCACTTCCATCCGCGAGGACATCTTGTAAGGGCGGGGCGCGGAGGGAGGGTTGGGAGGGAGGCCGGTCCCCGTGGGTGGTTGCAGGAGGAGGGAATGCTTTGGCGGTTTGCTGGCGCTCCGGTGGCCATTCATCCGGCGGCGGACACTCGTTGAGCACCAAGAGGGAGGCCTGTACAGGCACGGCTTTCCGGCGCCAACTCCACTTTCACGAGCTTTTCTGGAATTAGTAACTGTATTGTCTCCCTACCACCACCACTAGCCCTTTTCTTAAGCATCTGCAGTATTCCAGGCACCAAAAGGTCTTCACAGATAAAGACGCTTTGACGTTATTTCCTTCCTCAGCCTCGCCTTTACAAAGCAGTAACCTGATAATTTGTTGGATAGCTTATTCCTTCATTGAATTAGTTTTGCAAATAGTTCTTGAGCACCTGATATATTAATCGTTTTCCAAACAAGTTCCACTTCCCCGCAATAATTCGCTATTTTATTCCTGCTTTACCCTGCAGGGCTGGTTTCAGAATTATAGATGTTTTATTTTTCTCATTTGGCAGATGAGACTGGCTTAGGGTCCAAGATGCATTGAAAACTCAGATGTCTCCAGGACTTAGGTGAAACAGCCCAGTGTAAGAAGGTTTCACTCCTAAGAAAAAGAATGAAACTGGGAGTAATGGAGCAGACTGATAATCCCAGCTATTTGAGAGACTGAAGCAAGAGGATCACCAGAGGCTCATGATCAGTCTGGGCTACGTAGTAAGATCCTGTTTTAAAAAATAAAATAGAAATTTACAATGGCTGGGGGTGTAGCTCAGTAGAAGAGCATTTGCCTGCCATAGTTGCAGCCCATGGGTTGAGAACTGAACCGAACCACTGGGTTTAGTCTCCACTACTACAAACATAAGAAAGGAGAAGGAAAAGGATTAAATAATGAACAACACCAGGACTTCGTGCTAGGCTTGGAGTATCAATAGATTAAAATGAAAAGCAGCCCCCATCTATCTAACCCAGCTGATGGCTGCCCTATGAAAATGAAGATCTGGTGTTGGGGCCAGGGAGATAGCTCAGCAGGCATAAGTGCCTGCCTGGCAAACATAAGGCCCTGAGTTCAATGCCTATACCAAAACAAACAAAAAGATTTAGTGTTGCCAGAATTTTTTTTTCTTTTTTCTTTCTTTTTCTTTCTTTTTTTTTTTTTTTTTTTAGCAGAACCAGGGATTGAACTCAGGCCCTTGCGTTTGCCAGGGAAGTACTTAGTCCACTGAGCCATCTCCCTGGCCCTTGGAATTTCATTATCAGAAATTAAAACTGTGTGTAAATTTGTCCTCTTTTTTTTTTTTTCTTTTGAGTCAGGGTTTGCTAGTGCAGGCTGGCCTCAAACTCAAAGCAATCCTCTTCTCTCAGCCTCCCAAATGCTGGGATTAGAGGCATTTACCCCCTCAATTATTTGTGCATGCATGCATAAGTCAAACCTGGAATTAAACCCAGGGCCTCTGCATTGAACTAGCCCCTCATTACTTTGCTTTGACTTTTTCTTTGGTACTTGAATGGAACTCAGCCTCGAGCTTGCCAGGCAGGTGCCAAGCAATATCCTCACCCTGGGGCAATTCAAATCTTAACACACATCACGTGGATCAGCCAAAAGCGCCTGCATGGCAACCAGGAGTTCTTGAGTTCAATTCCCTGTATCCTGCTGCCTTCCGCCCTCCTCCCTCGCAAAAAAACAAAACAACACCAAACCTGTGAGAACCAAAGTACTGTCTTGGTTTGAGAACTGATTTTGACATGTCTGCCCAAAACTCTGTATTTAGGGAGCTAGGCTATATTCTGCCTCTAATCTGAAGTCTGGTGCTATACTGAGTATAGATGACATAAAGACAAATGTTTCCAAGCTATCCCCATAAAGTTTAAAGTTGGATACACTTGGACACGTTAACTAATACAAGCTCGTGTAATCTTTTTTTACAAATTGTGTCTACTGACTATACACTGACTTTTTTTTTTTTTTTGAGGGAACTGGGGATTAAACTCAGGCCCTTGTGTTTGCCAGGCAAGTGCTTATTCTACTGAGCCATCTCCCCGGCCTCTATACACTGACTTTTATATTGCCTACACAATATAGCACATAACTGTTTACATAGCTTTATACTATATTAAGTATCATAAGGAGTCTAGAGATAATTTAAAATATATGGGAAATTATGTATAAATACTATACCGTGTTGTTCATGGAACTCTAGACCCTGTATTGTGGTATCTGGTACTCACAAATGTATGTGATAAATGGCTTAAAAGATAGACAGCTGGGTGTGGTAGTGCACAGCTGTAATCCCAGCACTCAGGAGGCTGAGGCAGGAGGATTGTTTTGAGTTTGAGGCCAACCTGAGCCACAAAGTGAGTTCCAGGCCAGCCCCAACTACATAGCAAGACCCTGCCTCAAAAAGGCAATAAATAAGGGCCTTTGAGATAGCTCAGCGAACTCAGCACCTGCCAGGGTTTGATCCCTGGCACCAAATGCTGTGCTGGCCCTGTCCCCCAGCTCACTGAGCCTGCAACCAAGTCCAGGCATGGTGGTACATACCTGTAGGGTTGAAAACAGGAGGATCACTAGGAGTTTGAGCTGTGTAGTAAGACCCTACACACACACACACACACACACACACACACACACACACACACACAGAGGCAATAAGTAAATAAATAATAGGAAAAAAAAAAAGTAACCCAATGCTGGCACGTGCATAAATCTTCACAATGGAAGTAGTAGTTTCCCTGGGCTGTGAATGTGTGCACAGGCTAGAGTAGGAGATGGGTGAATGCAGAGGGCTGAGTAGCATACCAAAGTTTGACCAGATGTAGTACCTAAGAAAAGTTGCTTGGTACCATTCTGAGGATTATCCAGTGTGGTAGGACATTGTTAAGCAGTGAAAAGAAAAAAAAAATTCACAGTTGCCCTAAAGACCCTTCAAATAATCCAACCCAGAGGGTCAGGGATTTAGCTCAGTGGCACAGCCCCTGCCTGGCCAGCGTGAGGTCCTGAGTCTAATTCCCAGCATCCTTCCCAAATAAACCAACAAATATAATCCAACCCTGCATCTCATATAATAGACATTTAAGAATTGTAAAATAAATAAGTTATTAGATGCCAAATGTGTGAAATAGAAACATAGGAATAAAGTGCTACGGAAACTCAGAAGAGGCAAAAGTTAATGTTCAAGAGAAAGGAAAGCTTGAACAGTAAGGACGGGAAGGCTTTAGAAGGTATATTAGTTTTGTACTCAAAGCCCTAATATGTCCACTAGTTGTTTAGTGACTTAAAACACTACAGATTTATTAATCACTTTTTTTTTCCTGGCACAGGGGATTGAACCCAGGGCCTTTGCATTGAACTGTACCACCAGCCCCTTTTTTTTTACTTGAGACAGGGTCTTGCTCAATTGCCCAGGCTTGAATTAGGCAGTTACTTGCCTCGGCTTCCAGGCAGCTGGGGTTTACAGGTTCCAGCTACCACACTTACCTAATAAACCAATTTTTAGACAGATCCTCCTTAAGAGATTAACATGCCTACGTGCAGAACTGAGCAGGAATCTGACCAATGTTTTTTGTTTTGTTTTGTTTTTTGAGGAACTGGGGATTGAACTCAGACCCTTGCTCTTGCCAGGGAAGCGCTTATTCCACTGAGCCATCTCCCCAGCCCCCTGACCAATGTTTTAAAGGGGGAAAAAAAAGGGAGACAGGTACAAAATGAAGACACAGATGCCAATTCTGTCCCAATTCTTGTCCACACGGGCATCTGTAGACCTAAGTGAAGAATCAGTGCTCTTTTAGCAAAAGTAGTTCTTTTTTGCTTTCTTTTTGACACAGGGTCTCACTGTAGTCCAGGCTAGTCTTGGAACTCATGGTGATCCTCCTGCCCTCAGCCTCCCCAGTGCTAGAATTACAAATGCATGCCACTATGCCCCACCAGAAGCAGATTTTTAAATCCCTGATTTTTTTTTAAACCCAGAGCCTTGCACGTACACTGCCACTGAGATATTTCCCTAACACTCTTTTTTTTTTTACTGTAAGTGGTAGCATAATATCTATTTTTTGGCTGTACCAGGGATTGAACTCAGGACCTTGTGTTTGCCAGGCAAGTGCTTATTCTATTGAGCTATCCCCCCGACCCCTATCTATTTTATTTTTTT